CAGATTTTTTTAGATATCATAAATGGGCTAATAATAGATAATCAATATGCATGTTTATCAACATTAAATTACCGGTAATCATGTCTGTGGATTACTTCAATGAACCAAATGAATTATTATACTAATTAAACAATTATTATGCATAGATTTAGGTCTGTATATTGTTTCAGGGTGCACATGTACAAGTTCATTATAATGTGATAATTAATCCACTAAATTAGTATTAGGTAATTATTATAGATGTATATAAACCTAAAACTTATTAGATCATCACATTGTGTTAGAGTACATTGTTTATACATGTATGTACCAAAATTCATTAAATTAAGATGAGTACTATCACAGACCATCAGTGTAAGTTTCATTGAAATGTAATTAGAGCCAAAAAAATATGAATTATTATGCAGATCAGGTATTTAATATGATCTCATTTTAACCCAAAACTGAGTAGGTCTGTGCATTGTTCTAGAGCATCAATGTACCAAGATTTATTGAAATGGGATAATTAGTACGTGTACTTGCGATATCAGTACTTGAAATACATGTATCAAAAGCTGAAAATTGATTAATTATGCAAATTAGGTAATTCATATTTCACATAACTGTCTGTGCATTGTCCTATGTATCTATGAAAACATTTCATTAAAATGTGATGACTAGTACCTGAGATATGATTGGAAAAGCCAAAAATTTACTTATCATTATGCAAATTAGGTTAATTATATGTATGGATTTTTACCCCAAACTAATCAAATCTGTGCATTAGTCCAGAGCATCTATGTACCAAGTTTAATCAAAATCCTATAAATAGCTCTTTAGATATCAGTGGAACAGTCATGAAACAGCTACAAATTAGCTAATTATATTGCAAATTAGGTAATTAATATGCATGGTTTCAACCAAAACCTAATCAAATCTGCACATTAGCCCAGAGCATATGTGCACCAAGTTTCATTGAAAACCAACATATGGTTCCTGAGATATCAGTGGAATAGACAGACAGGCACACACAGGCACGCACACACACACACACCCACCCACACACACACACACACACACACACACACACACACACACACACACATAAATAGACAGGCTAACTGCAAAGATTCCCAATGTGTGCTTTGCACACGAGAGTCAAAAACTATAGACGACTTTTGTTGCATTTGACAATGATAAACTTACTGACCAGATTCTTTTCATTGCTAACATTGGTATAATCTGTCATTTAATTCATCAAGTGTGCTATAGAAGGACATCTGTGATTTGTTGACTAAACCAGTCAGAAGAGATCTCGTTGAAATCTTGTTACCGTACATAGACATTGGTTCAGATGTATGTGGTGATAGTTAACATGCAGCCTGTCAACTGAGATAGCTCTGCTGTTAGCAATGCACATTTCAATTAAGAACTGAAGATATCATTGGAAAATTAACAATATGTATAGTATCAAATGAAATGGACTTGCTGTTTTCAACAAGCAGTCGAAAATATAACTATTTGCCAAAAATGACAAATATATTCACCAAAATTAGAGAATTGAAGATATTATCATGAAATGAACAAATCTAAGAGAAGTCTACCCAAGGTACAAAATGTACACATACACCAAGTATCAAAGCATTCAGGCTTGTAGTTGAAAAAGTATTCAGGCTTGTAGTCGAAAAAGTAAAAAGTTGACACGGATGAAAGACGCAGGACGACGGACAATCACTCATATGATAAGCCCCGCTCGACAAAGTCAACAGCGGAGCTAAAAAGTGGGGTAGTTGGGAGGGACCTGGAGTCTATGGTATACATGTAGGTGGGTTGAAAACCTTCTGCCTAAATTCACAACATTCAATTACCTACCATAGACTCAGGTCAGTCAAAATGACTATTTTGAACTGTATGACTTGCTGGGTGCATTGCTATGTGAAGGTAAGCATTGTATGTGGCTAACCAATTGAAATAGTGCACGGAGAGCAAAACAGTTTTTGGTGTCTCCATGCAGAAACGACCTTGGAGCACAAACTGATTTAGTTTGCTTAGATCCAGAACTAGACGCCAGTCACCTGTAGCTTTTGGAACTACAAACACATGTGAGTAGAAGACTGGACTTGTTGCCAGGTCTTCTACCATGTGTATGGCGCCCTTTGTAAGCAAACTGTCTACCTTCTGTCGGATTGCTTCTGTTATGATGGGATCCCTCGACAGTGCCCCCAACGGGAGGTGACGGGTGGTGTCGACAGGGAAGACAGAGATAGCAACTGAATTTTGTAACAGTGTGTCACCTGGAACGTCCAGGAGAGGAGGGGGGACTCCCTTCCAGTGAAGCAAGTCCCCTTGCGATTTGTAAGAGTTGAAAAGCTCAGACTCTGCTCCCCGTCGAATGCTTGCCCATCCCCCTGTGGCAGACGGAAGCGTAAAACTCACTTCCCACACGATTACCCGAGGAAGAGGAGGATCCACCGCTGCTGGGCACCCCACTACCCGAAGTAGCACCCAAGGTAGACGAAGGAGGAGGAGGACTTTACACCCATACTAGCACTCCTCTCACTCACACCCGCAGGGCCACCCAAACTGACCACGCAACTAACCCAAGCTCGGGCAACACAAACAGCTCAGGCAACATTAACATGGTTTAAAAACTCTCCCAGGTCTTGCCATCCCAGTTAGAGCACACACCCTCAATGCAATTTTTATCCTACCAGACACCATGTCTTACTGTAACCAACGGTCACAGCAGGAGTAACTCAGAAAACTCAGTTGAAAAACTACGGACTGAATCACACTGTTATGCTATGATATACACTCGGTACGGAGAAAACAGAGCGTGAATATACGGCAAGATGGTGCTGACCTCTTGACCTTGGTCACGCGTTACATGACGTTGAAGAAAATCATGAGGTCATGGAGCTTCCCCTTACCTAGATTTCTCTCTCAGTCATTGGCTGAATTGCAGATTAATGCCTATAGTTCAAAATAGTCATATTCAGCACTTTATTGTTCATCAATCAAGTTTTATTGATATCTGCATTTGTGAGAAAATGTTGGAGGCGGAAACTGGAATCAAGAAACCGAAATCTGGAAAATGGAATTCAGTCAAAAAAGAAATAAAAGTCCCATTTTCAAACTGCGCTTGAGCGGAGACAAAGCATGCATAAGATACCACATTTTCAAAAAACCAACATGGCTGCCAGTCAGCCATCTTGGATCGAATCAGTAAACTGCTGAATGTGAATCAGTTCTAGGCAAAGTACTATGCAGATTTGGTCCGCAGGGTTATGAAATACAACTCTGAATGAAGGGACATAGACCAACTGAACGTTTTTTGAACAGGGAATAAAAATGGCCGCTATTGGGCCATCTTTATTGGAATCATCTTCTGAAACAAATAGACATGCATTTGTAACCCAAAATGTATGATTTTCATTGTATGTGTGAAGTTTGAATGTGATCCACCCATGCATGTTTGAGAAATCTAATTAATGAATAAGAATGGCATCAACTAATAAACAATTCATCTACATGTACCTCTTTTTTCCTCTAGAACACGTTGCTGGGCAGCCAATTTCCTTTTCTGTTTTCTCTTCTCTTTTTTCAACATTGCTTTATATTTCTTGTAACTAAAAACAGACAAATACCACAATAAGAAAAGATAAAAGCCAAATACGTGATAGGCACTGACAACTATTTTTAAATCAAAGAAAGCTTAGAACTCCTGTGTGCTGAGAGTATTGGACATTAAAATTAATTCAAAATTTAAGATTTGCCTTTCAAATGAAAAGCTTGGCAAGTGATATTTGTCTGCTTAGTGGAGAGCTGAGAAGTAAATTATCACACAAATTAAGTAATTATTATGGATGTACAGTTGTGTATATAAACCTAAAACCCATTAGATCATCAAATTGGGTTGGTGTATATATGTATTCATTAATTACTGTCACAGACCATCTATGTACGAAGTTTCATTGAAATGTGATATCAACTTGCCAACGAATCATGCAGAAATAACAGTAGTCCATATCAAAAATATTTGCATTCTAGCAGAGCCAATATGTAGCTATAAATTGTATACACCACCCCAGTAAAGAGTGTATGGGGCACTCAAGTTTCAAGGACACGCTCGCGACAACCCCTCTGCTTTAATATGACAAGCACAAAGAGAACTTTCAAAAAGGCCAGTCGAAATGAATCAGAAAGCAGTGATAATAGTGATGATGCTTCCCAACATGACCTGTTACCTGATTTAGGATCATCATCAGGGCATGAAATTGGCCTTTCCTCTGAAGATGAAGAAATGGCATGCACTAGACTACGTCACCAGAATGCCAAAATGATAGAAAATGTATGGCGTAGAGAATATTCAGACCCAGAGTGCTGGAGTGACTAAGAAGATGACAGCAGTAGGGAAGATGAAGATGGCTGGTCTACCATCCTGAGACCACGCCAAACACAGCCCTTCATTGGTGACACCCCTGGGCCCACTATTAATTTGGATGAAACATCAACCCCAATTGATGCATTCTATGCTATTTTCCCCAGAAGTTTAGTGAAAAAGCTGTGGAAAGAAACAAATAGATACACTACGGTACATGGTGCACAACCAAGAAGGGAGTGGCTGATAGATTCTGGTCCCATGCTAGCAGTGAAGAAATTAGTGCACTGCTTGGTATCATTGCCATAATGGGGGTTGATTCAAAACTAGAGATTGGGGACTACTGGTCTACCTGCCAAGCAATAAGAAATGCATATATTGCCAACATTATGACTCGCAATAGATTTCAGAAATTGATGCAGTATTTCCATTGTAATGACCCCCAGAATGACCCAATGAACATAGCTAATGACCAGGAACGAAAGGAAAAGAGAAAACAGGCACCACTGTATAAATTGCAGCCAGTACTGGATACTGTATTTCAGAAATCCCGGGAATGCTACAACATGCACCGTGAGGTTTCCTTAGACGAGTCTATTGTTGGATACAAGGGACGCTTTGGAGGAATCCCTCCAGTATTTATACAGGGAAAACCTCGGGCAAAGGGATTTAAAATATGGATATAATTACAATGCTGAGGTTATGTCATTAACTGGTAGCCATGAGCGGTACAGAAGAGATGTGTCTAGGACCAGAGCCCTGTATGAAAGACTGATAATTGACATCAGAGGATTCCACCATATATTGTTCACCAACAGTTATTATACCAGTTTAGACATGGTGACACATCTATTGAAAGAGTGTGGAACATATGTGTTTGGTAGCGTCAGACAGGATTCCACAATGCCCTCCGGACAAACGCAAAGAAAATAACCAGTGATAGTGAAGCTGGAGAGGGGGCAGTTTGTCTCCAGACAGAAAGGGGAGGTGGTTGCTTTATGCTGGAAAGATACAAGTCTCTTGAACATACTGACATCATTCTATGAGGGTTACAGAAATGACCACCAAAAAGTAATTAGAGGTTCATACGCTCACAAGAAACTGGTAGAAAAACAGCACACACTCTCCCTGCACCTGAGGCAGTTAGCCAATACAATAAATACATGGGAGGAGTTGACAAGTCAAATCAACTAAGATCATATTATACAGCACAGCGCCAGTCCAAAAAATGGTGGAAATACATATTTTTCTACCTTCTGGATCCTGCCATCTGCAACAGCTGGATTTTGTACAAAGAATCAGGGAACCCAAAGAAAACTCTTTCCAAACTAATGTTAGCATGGCATTGATAGGTGGCTATTCATCTCGAACACAACACACAAGGAATACTGAACCTGCAATCAGCTCCTTTAAAAACCACCATTTAGTACACAGTGGTCACCCTCGAGGTACATCATGTAGATGGTGCATTCAGATTAGAAGGAAAACACGTAGAGGGTGCCCAGTATCCAGTGTGTTCAAATGCCAGGAGTGTAGTATCAACCTATGCAGAGGATGTTTTTTGCCTTACCACCATGTTGCAACAGGGTGCCCAGATAAGCACAAGACAACACAGACTGCAGATGAGGATTTGGGGGAGGCTAGACGAAGATGGGGTCATCATGGAAGAGGAGGTGCAGCAGTCAGAGGTGGAAGAGGAGGAGGCGGAGTTGGAAGAAGACCAAGAGGAAGAGGAGGCAACAAATGAGTGAAGAACTAAGGAATATAGGACCCCATGGGATGGGGGGTCTTGAAATGTAATTTTGAAGAAAACAAGACATGACATGTCATGTCATAGCCCCCGCTCAGAAAAAATTTAAAAACTTATATTGAACTTAGTTTGTGTCAGAGTGAATTAATTCATTGTGAGCTGTATTAAAATTCAGTTATTAAATGTTCAGAATTGATGTGTTACAATTTTTGGGGGTGGGGTAAAAATTTATTCATTTGGCTTTTCTGAGACAATTTATAACTTGTTAAACATATAATGCGATGTGCACTTGTAAACAATTATTACCTGTCCCTGTACCAACTTTGAACAAAACTGAATGACACATATCTGAGAAAAAGCTGTTAACAGCTAGAAAAAGCTTGTTTTTTTTAGATTTTTGAGGGAAAAAATGGCCTCCAAGTCGTAAAACTTTATTCAATCAAACAGGTCATGAATGACACTGAAAGTTGCAACATATAATTTGTCCAGTTTTTGGCATGGATGTAAATTGGCAAACATGATTTCTATGGCATTTTCAAGTTTATAGCACTCTCCATTCTGGTCTCAGCAAGAACACCAGAGAGCAAC